ACTCAGACTAGTAAGAGTTTGAAGGGGAGTATTATGAGATGATTAGTTCATCAACAGATGAACCACAAGACAATGACTTCATAATGTCTCAGTTAGAATACATACAATATAAGGATGAGAGACACTGAGCAGTCAATTGTCACCTCACCCCTTGTCTATGTGTGCCCCCCTTAAGTTTCCCCTCTTAACAGTATTCTTTAAGATTGGTGAACAAGGTCTTGATTCTGTGCAGCAAAAGAGATCTATGGGTATGGATGGAACTTGAGAAGGTCTGTATTGATTATGCACTAATCTGCTACGGGTCAGGGTATTTAGCAAACACACCACCAATAATGTATTGTACCTTCACTGTTTAGCAGGTTTTCTATCCCCTTTATAAAATACTTACAAGTCAATGATTGCATTTGCACAATGACAAGTTGGACGTCTACAGCTGCACTAAAATATATAGCATGACAAAATAGTTCCAAGTGTGAACACAGAGGTTGCTACCAATGAAACATTACAATGGTAAGAGACGTTTCTTGAATTAGTACCTTAGAACTGACAGAGATACAGGGAGCAGTGAGTAGTAGCAAGAATAAACACTCAAATGACAAACACATCCAACAGGGGTACAACTGAAAAAAATGAAAGGCCAGACTGAATGACGACAGTAAACATTACTATTATTGTAGGATAAATAGGCAGAACCAGATACAAAAAAATTATACAAAGCTTGTATCAGCCAGTTAGGTACTACCAAGAGAGATGTATATGCAATGCATATGGACAATAAATATCGGAATCCTAGCTGAATCTATATGTAAATTATCAACTCTACTACAGGACGACTTGGCATTACACAAATAAGTTGGCATGACTCTCGGCACTGTTTCTGCGCACTAGGAGACGATTCAATAAGACTTGTCTCACTGTTTGCATCCCAAAGAAGTTGCTCTCAGCTTCCGAATTTTGAGTATAATTCTTGTAGTTAAAAGGGAATGTATGATACAAGTAATACTAGAGAGAATGTTGGCTCAGCTCATGATTCCTTTGAGGAATGATTAAGTTGAAGGCTGACTTTGCAAATGTTGTTGCGAGATAAGCCTGTGCAGCAACGTTGAGTTCAGTTCGATTAAAGCAACTTTCGATCACCTACAGGTAACTTCACGATTACAAGCAAGTTTATAACTGATAGACCTATGTTAGTCCATGTGTTGAATTTCAATAAGGATAAAGAAAGCGCCTTGTACTAACTGTAAAGATACACAACCATACTGGCGTCAAATAACATGAGAAGCCAGTCGACAGCAATAACGTCATTAATTGTGTTATTCGCAACAGCATGAGACCACATCCTTATCAAAGACCAATAACCTGTATCAGCTAGTGAGTCTTAGAACAATCATGCATTTCTTCACAGAATGCCATAATAAAATTCGTTAAAGAGACGCCATTACCTCGCCTGTCTGGGGCTTTGGCATCTGCCAATCAAAGGAAGCAGGCGCTGAATCCCGAAGCTGCCGCAACAAGCACTTTGCTCGAACGTTTCCCACCCCGATACAAAAAGCGAATTCTGTTTGTTCCGAAGCGTTGATTCGCAGCGTTAGTAAGATTGCTGGTATTCGTGAGCAGTCTGCCTGATAAAGTAGTTAATCCAAAACAATCTCAGTGAATCTGCTTTCTAGAGAACAGATGTTTTGAATAGTGGAAATATGTCTTGTGAGTGAATTGACTTGTGCAGAGAGGAACTAAATCTGATTGTGTACATAAAGTTGAATTAATTTTCGTTTCTCACAAGTGAGTTGGGGGCAAGCAACTTGGAAAGTACCTTATGTTCACGGGCATATACAATACTATCCCTGTTTTCCTACCTAACTCATAAAGGCACTTCCTTGCGATCAATATTGGTGCCTTTTAAATGCAGAATTCGATAGGACATTAATAATATTGTCAAAATAACTCACCAACTAGATAATATATGTAAGCCAGCAGGATTGCCGAGAGACGAGTCGAGAGACCCGTTGCTGAAACACGACCAGTAGAATACTCTATCCTTATCCTCATTGTATCACGACCCAAAGACATCCCGAGAAGTGCTAGTTTCCGGGCCAGGATGACATCTTGATTGTATAGATCTTGAATTTATGCAAGTAACACATTTTTGTCCATCCTCTGATATACATGGTCGTAAAACCGAACAGGTCACTGACAATTACTGATCTTGCAAAGAAAAACGGCAGATGAACATTACCCGAGAAGGTCGATGAGTTTCAAGAGAGATAGACGTAGCAGAAGGAAAACAGAACGTAAGATCAAGCATGATGTTTTGGTCTCCTATCCGTGCTGTCAATAATTACTCCCAAATACATCTTGCATGTTGTTGATAAGCATACCCTTGCCACTTCTATGGTAGTATGGACGTGACTTACATGCTGCAGCTTAAAATAAGCAATAGAAATGAGGAGACTTTGATTCGTTAAGGTCCTTCAGCTTCCCATGGGATAACACATTGATCAATCTTACCGAGTAAACCTCCCAACTACTTTTCTCACAGCTTATCCCGAGTCCGACCCGAATGCTCGGTATGAATGTCCTTGACATAGGTTTAACAGCAAGCTACGCATTGATACTATCTGATTCATGCTTAGGACTGCTCCCGGGTCCTAATCGAGGGGCGCAAGAAGATCACAGCTCTTCATTTTTTGCAAAGTCTTGAGGCTCCTAAGCTATTGAAGCTCCCATAGTCCCCACAGCATTGATCTGCGATCCGAAAGTGGTTAACGGGGACTGCTGGGAAGAGTGCCATTGGAGATTAGAGATTGATCAGCTGAGAAAGATAGATGCGAAGCGGGCCAATTTACAGCCAGGTCTTGCCTAACCAAGCCGAAGAAAGTGGAAAAAGACTTGATAGACACTATAAATTTCGCATTCGTCGTCAATTTGGCTTTAACCTAACGTAAATTCAGAAGACAACCGTGCCCTGCTCAAAAATAGAAGTAGCGGAAACCACCCGCGAAGGTCACCGATCTTCTATTAACACCAAAAGTCACCGACGCCGCCCGCGAAGTATCCGCACAACGTGCAACAAGGAAGACGTAAGGTTTACGCAGCTGTTGCAGCAGGTTTTCACGAATGTCGGCATTGGCGCCAGAAGCCTAAAGACTGATCCGTGTGAAGGAATGCATCCGGAGTCTATAGACAGCTGCTTCCGTTCTTGAGTGAATGACATTGACCAAGAATGGTTGAAGTGTCGTGGAAGCAGGCGAAACTGGTTTTCACGAAAAGCATCCGAAGAGGCTATTAATGACGAAACCCGTGGCATGTACAAATGGTCCGAGTGCATGCATCCGATACAGCCTAGTGTCTATGGAAGTTCCATTCTATGTTCGATATCTAATGGATAAATACTGATCCTTCAGACATATGGAGGCCCGAGTGCTGGTACCATATGTTTCAGGTCAATACCAATCATTAATTAAGCATGTGCTCACCTTTGCGGAATAGAGAAAGCGTGAACTCTACTACAAGAAGCAGAACACCGCCGCCCGGTGCCAGCCGAAGTACCTTGGGTACGAAGCCTTTGTACAGAGCAGCTGGTCCCTCCTCGCGGAGAATTGTCGCTAGACTAGAACGAAGTACAATCAGCCCGATCCATAAATGCTTTTTTGACACGATGTCAACGACAGCACAATAACTGTCGATCAGCGATCAAAAGAACGCACGCTGGGTAGGTCCAATTGTACTTGGGAGTGACTCCTGGAATCTTCTCTGCACCCTGGATGCGCGACTTTACCACCTTTTACAACAACAAGGTACCATTGAGGGACTTCTAGCTTGCAGACAGAAACGAAGTATTACTTACATCAAATCTATTCTCGAGAAATATGGTGAATGTATGCAGTCAGTGGTTCGTCACGTAGCTGAAATAAGAAAGCACCATGGGGCTGTTCTTACGGGGTATTTAATGCTGTGCCGATGAATCCGCCAACCGTCCCAGACACAAAATTGTTCAGCAGAGTACCTTGAGGGGTCTACCGTTTTAGAGTTCGACATAGGACAGGTCAGTGAATACGAGCAGAACAACATATGTTTGGACAGCAGGAAAAATTACCTCCGCTTTCGGCAACACGGCTTTCACCTGAAAAATCGATCTGCACGACAAACATAAGCCTACGAAGGTCCACATTAAGACACGAGACCAGAAAAACTCACCCGAAGTACCCTCCATTCCACCAGACGTGCCTTCATTCACCGGGAGAAAGTAGAACGAGGAAACAATCGAAGTCAGGTCCGGTCTTTAGTTCGGCTGACGGTAGAGTAGGGTAATACCTCCAGAAAGTCGCTTCCATTCCTGCGTAAAGGCCGAGGAGGCCATCACTCTTGATAATACGACGGACAACATCCATTGGGCCCGCGTACACGCTGTTTTTGTCCTGTAGTCTGGTTAGGGAACGTTCGAAGCATTAATGTATTGAAGTACGCATGAAGTCCTAAAAGTCATACTTGATTTTCACGAGCTCGAACGGTACCACTACAAAACTCTCAGTAGCACCGGCACTGCAGCCAGTTAGAACAGACAGGGATTGATTCATTTTCTTCTCGCCAGCCCAGCCCATGTATGTCTTGCCCCAAAAGTCATTTGAGGCACTGTGCGTACAGGAATTAGTTAGAACCGTGGTATACACGCAGCTGACTCGAATTTCCTTACAATTTCACCGCTCGTTTTGGGGCTTCTAACATCAGTGGCGGAGCCAGACCTTGCATCGAAGAAAGCACGTGAGCGCACGGTCGACGTAACATAGAATCAGTAAATGTCTTGTCAAGCAAGTACCTCTGTAAAGTCTCCCGACTCTGTACAGACGTGAGGATCGAAGCGTGACGCAATAGCATGACCACGCACCCTTCTTCCGCTATTATTGACTTGAAGCTTCCGACTAACCCATGTGAGGTCTTTCCCCTCTCCAACTGCATGCGCGTTTTAACCTGAAGTTTTTATCGATAAACTGTAACGCGAACGACATTTGGAAGGTAAACGCAACATACGACATCTATTCATCCTCAGTTAACTCAAAGATTGCAAGCTATGGTGGAGCACTCACCGAGAGGGTAGAATGTTAAAATTTCGGAAATTCCAGCAATTGCCCCAGCAGTGAAGTTCGCAATGAAAGGAAGGGCTGACGGAGTGTTGTCAAGCAATGTAATTCAGATTCGTCGCGAAATACGTACGTTTCTTTTGCTCCGTCGCCATCTCTGCAACTGGTCGGGTATAGTCCAACGGAGACGAAAGCAAACAGCTGTGGTATGGGGGTTCAAGACGTTGGGTTTGTCAGTGCCACGGCCGCTTCCGGTCTCCGACAGCTCCCAAATTTGGTAGCCATATCCGTTCCGGGTTTGTAAATATTGAATATCACTTAGATTCACTGTTCTCATGATGGGCTGTGGCAGACATCAGGGCCGTCCTGACCATTGCGGCTATTGAGATATTTATTTCCTCATAACGGTGCCTACGACTTTGGGAGCATTCTTGTTCATAAGCGGACTAGCATTCTTAGACAGACAGATTCTTTTTCATGGGAAGAAACCGGTCTACTCGATTTGCATACAAAACTAACTAGATGAAGCGTAATCTGTTGCAATCACTCTGGGGTTTGATTACTTATGTGCCAGAACCTTTATACCCAGTTCTTCGTTAAAGCATTTCGGCAGTGTCCCTGCATTACTCTGAGGGATGATAGTCTGAGAATCGTGTTCAAATGTGATTTGCGTCGGATGTCCGCATGTACACGTCTATCGCATAATTGTGCTCTGGTCGTTCTGGACCTGTATTCTAATCTAATGTGGGATTGAGATCCACCTCCTCCCCATTCCCCAATCGGATGAATATTTACCATTCCAGAGCCAGAAGTAAAAGTATGTACAATCACCGGCTACTTTCTTTCGCATGTTCTCGCTGAATTTCTTCTATCCAGCAAGTTAACAAAATAAACATCGACTTTGTACACGTAATCTAGATCGTACATTCATGCATGTAGAAGTTAGAAGTTCGTGGCCTTATGAGCTCTGGAGCCTTCCAGGTCTGGGGGTAACGTAACGGATATATATATATATATAATTATGTAATATTGTCGATCTAGCTGCCGAGGTTGCCGACTGAACGACCTTGTTCAGCGTCACCATCTCTCAGTCCTCGCCACGCACTGTGTACGCGTTAGAACAACCCAGGCAACTCTCTCGAGTTTATGGCGTCGCGCAATGGAAACAAAACGACTGCTTTGAGGCGTCTGATGACTGAGTACAAGCAGTTGACTGCAAACGGTAAGTATTTAGTTTCCAGGATGTTCACGACTCGAAATAATGCTGAAGTCGTCCTCATCTGTCTTCTCAGGGTCGCCTGATGGAATGTTCACCGCAGGTGAGTACCCCGAATCGAACTTTTCACACTATCTCTGGTGTTGACAACCAATTTCTTTCGTCTTCGACGGATGCACCACGTTTGAAGGCCCAATATCCGAGGAAGACCTTTTTGCATGGGAAGCACTTATCTGCGGGCCTAAAGATACGCCTTTCGTGAGTTTCCATGAGTCTCTTGGCTAAATAAGCATGAACCTCATAGATTGCATCAGGAGGGTGGTGTTTTTGCTGCAAAATTAACCTTCGTAAGTCAATTAGATGCTTCCGGCTCATTTATACGCCCAACCAATTATCTGGTATGCTTTGTCCAATCATCCTTTGGCTGAAAGCCCGATGACTATCCATTATCTCCGTTCAAAATGAAATTCGAACCACCATTATTTCATCCCAATGGTAAATCTTCCTATTTCCCCGAAAAATCTCAGGCTAACAACATCTATCTTCTCCTGCCATGCACTGCGTGGAATTAAAAGTTTACCCCGATGGTACTGTGTGCATATCTATATTACACGCGCCAGGTGACGATCCCACGCACTACGAACAGGCCTCGGAGCGCTGGAGCCCAGTGCAGAGTGTCGAGAAAGTAATACTGAGCGTGATATCGATGCTAGCAGGTGCAGTCTTCTCCTTCCCGATGTCGGGGATCTCCTTCCCAGAGAGCTAACGGCACCTTCATACAAATCTCCCTTGCTGCTTCTCGACCCACGAAATGGGACTGCAGAACCGAACTTGGAGAGTGGTGCGAATATCGACTGCTGCAAGCTGTATCGAGATAATTATCCCGTAAGAGCACAACTTTTTCGCTTCCCAACTTCCTGCTCCTTAGCTACGTTTAATTCATGCGAGAAACTCATAATTACAGGAATATATTCGGCTTGTTAAGGCTTCGATACATGAACAGCTCGGGCTATAAGACTGCCCCTTCACGCATACAAGTAAAGCAGGTAGCCGACCGCCTTCGGCGCCATGCTCCCGGGCATGACTGGGCATGACATCTCGATATTCAGAAGTCTATTTTTGTATAAAATTGAATCAAAACCTAGAAATGCAAACCAATGAGTACGCCATGTCACGAAGCGGAATACCGTAAGTAAACGGGTATTATTATGGTGAACCTAGGAAAATAGAACGCGCTTTGCCACTTTTGACGCCTGCGAATATCAGAAGTCGACGTCATGATAGTGAGTAGCTGCGTTTCCTTTCGTATAAACTAAGGAAGAACGGCAGTTTGCGTGCGTATACTGAGCTTCTCCCAGTTACTTTAGAAACTCTTCTCGAGTCCGATCCAGGCTTTGAGGAACCGAAGGGTACTCCCCCAAAGTTTGATCATTCACACCCATCGGAAGCGGACATAAGCGAGCAAAAGCACCGAAAGAGCAATTATTGCTCCGTGTCTACAGAAACGTCACTCGTTTTTGGTATTTCAAAATGAGAAAAGGAGTCCAATTAGTACTACGAAGAAGTCCGAGGAAAGCATGACAGAACACTGGAAAATAGTAATGGGTCCAAAGGGGTATGTGTGAATTGCTACTTTTTTTTAATTGCAGAACGCAACATATAGTCGGGCCAGTCAGTTCCGCGGCTTGAACACGCGAGCGTGCACGTCTGCTCCCAGCTCTCCAAATATGTGTCTCCGAATGTATTCACTACGGAAGAGTCCCGAAGAATCAACATCTTCCAAGACTTTCACAAAGTCAGGAAACCTGGGGTACAATGCACGTAGTTCCGCGGGACGCAGCTCGTGGGTCTTTGCCCAATGTGGCTTTCCGCCGAGCTGCGCCGCGATACGTTCGAAGGCGCTGAAGAAGCGGCGATATGGCACGTTGAAACCATAAGGCCTAGAAGAGAAGATACCGCGAGAAAGCCGTCGGCAAATCATACCAACGTCAAAGGAAAGAGATTCACTCACTTGAATTGGATGAGACCTATCCAGCACATACGCTGCCCATAACCGGGACTGAGCCAGATATCATCTGCTTCTGTGAAGCGAATCTCAATGGGAAAGTGGGGACGGATTCCATTGGGGTTGGCATATTCATTGTCAATCCAGATCTGAAGCTCCCTAAGGCACCTTCGCGCATTCTCGAGAGGTACAGCCCATTCTGTAGTGTATTGCGGGTACTTTCATTTATCGGTCAGTCTTCCGAGCGTGACCATGATCGAAGAGACTAAATGCTTACTCGACAATCCACATTTAGAACCCTGTGGGAATCATCAATATTCACCGTCTTTCCCCGTAACAGCCATTCAGCAAACAGACCGGTCCAAGTGTTGATCCTCAACCAGTATCGACCTAAAAATAGTAGGAGCTGCACGACATGGTAGGCAAAGAAGACATTCCACAGCCAACTTCCTGCTGGTTTTGGGCTCTGTAGCACACACAAGAGAAGGGTTAGCGTCTTTTCTATTTGGGACTTGCGGGAAGATCATTGTTACTGACCTCCTGTGTCCGATTGCATACGCTAGTGCGAACCAAATTGTTTTGTGCAAACCACCAGAAGCGTGTGTGCTCTCCAGACCTGATCAACACATCGAAATCTTCGAGAAATGTATCAAAGTTGACCGTGTCCTGTTCGTCTCTGAGGCGAAACGCCGGCTCAACTTGCAATTTAGCAGACAATATGAGACCAGTGGCGCCGAGACCGCACAGAGATGCCTTGAACAGGTCTGGACGGTGAGACTCTGAGCACGTGACTTGCGTGCCATCCGCGATCATGAGAGTCAGCTCCAGCACCATTGTGGACAGAACGCCATAGTTGACGCCAGTACCGTGTGTCGCTGTCGTAATGATTCCGGCGAGAGTTTGGTCCGAGATCGAACCGAGATTGGACATGGCCAAATTGTGAGCCGCAAGACAGGCATGGAGCGCGTTAAGGATGATCCCTCCTTGAGCTACAATGTAATTCTTTTCCGTATTCACCTGAACAACGGTCAGCTGAACCGCAGTGCGCAGGACAGTGGCCGAACGAAGGGTACCTACCTCAAGAACTTTGTTAAGCTTGGTCGTGCGTAGCATGTACTCGTTTGTACACGCCAAGTCACTCGGACTATGTCCTATGCCCGAGAACCTCACGCGTCGTCCTTCGCGCCTGGCTAGCTCGAGGACAAGCGCACATTGCTCTTCGGTCTCTGGTTCAAAGATTGCAAGTGGAACGCACGTAAATGTGCGTCCCCAATTCGTGAAACGTGAACGTGGTGAGTGCCAAGGAACTATTATTGGTTGGAGCAAGTCCCATAGTCTCGACACCGACAACGACGCAAGTGGGGCGAAGGGCGTGTGCTGGCGCGATAACATTGTGAAGGGGGTGAATATTGTGGATGCATGGGATGAGTAGCGGGATTTAAGTAGAAAAAATTGAAGCGGGAGGATGAGTGAGGAATAGTTAAGACAGACAGGGCCCCCGAGCATTCTCGGGATTTACCGTTACTTCCGAGACTCCGCACAGGCAGAGTGGCGATTCGAGCTCCTTTGAATCCGCCCGCCGCAATCCGGGAGCTGGAATTCTACCTGTGGGACACAGGAAGACAGGATGATTCATAAAGCCACCGAACGAGGAAAGAAGAGCATCCAAAGCAACGTTCTGAAAATGAATCCATTTGCAAATTGTGAGGGTAACCACGCATAGCAGCCACCACGGCATTGTTGTCGATTGGTTTCGTTGCCCAAGCCCGAATCTGGTAATCATCAGCAGACGAAAGAATGCGCTCATTCATCGGCCGTACTTACGGATTTGTCGAAGAATCCCATAGAAATTCACTCCTTTCGTCAGCATGCTGGAAGAAGGTTTGGCCCCTCAGATCCTTGCTTTCGAAATTCGGAAACTCTGCACGAGCCGCAAGGGCAAGAGCGAGAGGCTAGCAGTATACCGTCCGTGATTCCGTCTTCCGTTATGTGCTACAACGGCACCTCCCTCGTCGCACACCGCTACTTTCCAGCTTGTACGCTCGTGCTAGTGAAAATCCAATACTCCGCCGCTGGAACCTTCGTGTCCAAACAATTGTGCACCTTCTCCCGGGTCGGTGCCATTGTCCCTGCTCGTGGTCATTCGACGGCCTCCTGGACTGTAGAAAAGATAAGGGGCAGAATGTTTGCGATATACCCATGCGGACTCCGAGAACGAAACTCGGAAACCTCCGTCCACCAACGCAGGCATCGGCCCAGCGCCGAGGAGACTTGCAGTGACCGTGCAAAGGCGAGCACAAATATCTCTCTCCCCAGGGTTGGCCATCTCTGGACGTAATCGGTTTCGTCTGAATCAGTGCCATTTCTCGTGGTATCTATGGATGTCACTCGACATACCACAACGGGTGCAGTGCACCTGTTTTGTAGAACATGCAAGAGGTTCACCCCGTGTTTCCTTCTGATTGCGCTCTCAATGTACGGCAGTAGGAACGGCAGCTGCCGGACACGCGTCATTCTTGCATAGCAATATCGTTCCGTTCAACTCACAATAGTCAGCGATCGTTGCAGCAAATGATTGGTAACATTGCATTGCATTCAGTGTTGAGAGATCCGTTTGTAATGGAGAGCTTGCCTTCAAATTGTTCAAGTTTCCCTTTGTGTCCGAGAGTCACACAGTTCTCACGGTACACCCCTGGAATGGGGTGTGTTTCTCAGGAGCTCATGATTAGTCAACTAGCAAGGAACAGCTTCAAGTGCAAAGGAACAAGACGAAGATTTAACACCGCATGTTAATCCATGAATTCATCAACACTGTAACGTAAGATAATCAAAAATTCACACTGAAGGAATTACTCCAATTCCGTAAATCATTAGACGAAGAGATAGAAGACCGTCGCATAAAAACAATCAGCGACGTTGAACCCAAAAATTGTACGCTATATTTCCGTGAGATGTTAGTTGAGGAAGTCAAATACGACTCGGCCGCATTCCTGGTTATCGTGGACGAGAATTCCTCGGACCTCCGCACTGTCCAGTTCAAGACCGAGTTCAAACTCTATAAGCGTGTAACGTTATCGAACATTCAGATTGGCAGACGCATTGAGGTAGGTGGTTAGAGTTAGTCCATGAGTCCCTTATGATGACATTGTTCAGTGCACGAACCAGTATAGAAGCCTCCCTGGACTGTGGCCGCTTGCTGCTGGAAGGACGGCAAGTTGCTTAGGTCGACGGTCCATTTACACAACTCAATGGTCTCTCCCTGAAACAGCGGACATGAGTTCAAGCGAGGTCCCACAGCAACTTTTGATTTCCTCACCTCGTCGGTATACCTCATAATTTTATCCGAGTCGGAAGTATACAGCACGGCAACGAAGAGTCGATCTTCGCCACGTGGAGTAAGTTGTCAAGTTTAACGTTTAAAGGAGGTGATCGACGATCGAGAAGACAATGAGCACGTTTTGCAGGTAACGGTCCAAAAATTGTACATGGAGAGCATTAAACTCTGAGACTGGTGAAGCACCACAAAAACTCACCTTGTGCGTTTTGAGAGAATTTACTGGGGACGGAAATAGCACGGAGTCAAAGTATTAGTGCGAGTTGAGACCCCATAATTAAAATTCGCGACGTTCGGAATGATCGGGTGAAATAAAATTATAACCAGTGCTCACCAGAACTTCGTCTGCACGCGTTGTCTGTGAGAATACAGTATCAGCTGCGGGACAGTGTAATAGAAGCACGACTTTGCGCTCACTCACCCTTTACGCAGAATCGCACCCTTGGTTACAAGGTACTGAAGTCTGACCGCGTACCCAGGCATGATCGTCATGCGAAGGGACACGAGTGCGTGATTTTAATTCATTAATACGCGGGAGTTGAGTCAAATAAATTTTTAGTTCCGCACCTGTTCTCGCAGATATTGACTCCGGCGTTATTTACTTTGATATAGGCAGGACGTTTCTGCCAGTCTTCCGGTTCCGCAGGAAGTTTCACCTTGACGAGGACCACATTAGAACCGAGATTGCGAATTGCACGGGTTTCCAAGAATGCATATGGCGTAAAAGCACGTGTATACGCGTATTGGGCAATATGCAAATGAGAAAATCTGGTATACCCACGAACTCACCTTCATGATATACGACCGCGGAGCAATCACGCTTGAGACAAGAGGCCGTCGTGCTAACCCATACTGCGCAGCACCTCGACACGTTGCCGTGTCGGCGTCTGACGGCCGAGCAATAACTTTTATTCGAGGACTAAATTGGGTCTATAAACAGATGAAAAGTCTCAGTCAGAGGTGAACAAGTATAGATACCGTTTTCGGAGTAAAAATAGAAGTAAAATAGCGGGGTCTCGCTTCTCGTGCAGTCCATGGGGAACAAGTTCTGCCTGAATTAACACAAATGAAGAAGGCTAACCCACCTCAACACGTTTGAAGAGATATTCACTTCCTGAGAAGCCACCGACGAGGAGTAATGCATCGATGTGCTGATCAACACGACGCAATTGCTCCTCAAGAAGTTCTAAGACCTGCAAGAGAGTTACTGAATTGAGTCCCGACCTAGATAGCCTTGGAATGAAATTACTTGGTTAACAACAGGATCGAAGACTTCTCTTCGAAGAAGATTGCCTGGAATAGCCAGCTCCCCATTCACAAGGCCAACGCTGGGATCATCAGGGTCATCCACATTGAAACACGTGAAGTGGAACATGTTTTCTGAGGGTGGTAACGAATTTCAATTGTCGGAAAGTAACGGCATTAGCGGTGCAACAGTATGGCAGACGCCGTTCCGTTTTTTTAGTACTATTCCGCAAGGATCGAACATGTCTACTTACTGTCATCACTTTCACCCATATAAGACATCTTATCTGTCTCACTGAACGCGTGCATGAAATAGGCAAGGGAAGCAGGATCCAAATGTGCCGGATGGTCCGCAAGTAGCGTACGAACGAGCTCGCGGAATCGCAAATCTAAGAAAAGGGAACCACAATTTGCACCAGAACGTGCGCATACTTCTGCTATTTCGAGGTTTGCGAGTTCACCAATGATTTTGTAAATGGCAAGGTCCTAATAAGGTGGAGCTCAATATACATGAGGATTCCCACAGATTTCATGGCATCTATCGAAACTTACGACGGTACCACCACCAGCATCACAGATCATGAAGTTCTGGCTCGGCTTGAGGCGATGAAGGTTTGTCAGGTGAGCACAATGTACAGCGGCCGCTTCCGGTTCACTAAATGGCAATGTATAAGATCAACTGGTCTATGAGAAACCTGAGGTATTTTGCCGCCAAACGTACGTGATTATATGCAATCGATCTTCCCAATTCCTGTCTGTTGCCGAAAACTGTTGCACAAGGCCAGCAGAAAGAGCAGCTTCCCTCATGAGTTCGCAACCCTTCGCGTCCCATGCAGCAGGGACAGTGAGCCAAACGTCAGCAGAGTCTGATGAAGAGAGAGCCCGACGTTTCAATACCGCGTGCCATGTTTCTCATAAATTCCATAAACACCGTACCTAAATCAGCAACGGCACCAATCGCACGAGTTATCTCTTCCTTAGCATATTCCCACATGCACGAAAGAAAATCGACAATTAAGTCAATCGCTTTTTTACCAGGCTGTCAACCTTCAGTCAGCAGTTCACGCCTGTGCAATGAAAAGCGGACGCACTGGAAGACTCGGAAGGCGTGGATCAACGTGACCTTCGCGCAATGCACGAGGCTCTAGGAAGAGCTTGAACCTGTGGGTCCATTGAACTCCGCTCTCCACACACGAGGGAAGGAACCCACCATTCGCATCGCACGGTTCCTGCCATAGGACTGGCGTTCTTTGCTTCTAGTCCCCATGCAAGGACGCGTCCAGCTTCATCGTACAGTAGACATGTAGGGATCTTGCGGAATGTTTCGAAGGAGCCCGGCCAGCGAAGAATTTGCTGAACTTTGCCTTGCTCTATTCTAGAGGAACCATATGCCTGGAAACAAAGAACTTGAATTGAGGCCATACTTGATTTATCCTCAAGTGACTTACCACTCCAGAGAATGTGGTACCTTAATCAGTTAATGTGACTGTGTCAGAACAAACAAACAAACAAACAAATAAAGCCAACACTGGAAACCGCGCACCGAAATCAATGGAAACGGACATTTTTCCTTCATCAACAGCTGTAGCTGGCTCTGGCGACTTCAAATTTCCACTGGACCGAGACATCGTCATCATTGCTGGTGGGGGATTCTGAACGCCAGGATAATAAGGTGCTGGCGATTGGAATGAGCCTGTTTGGGCCATTCCATTTATCGAAGGAGTAAATTGGGCAACAGGAGGCGGAGAAGATGATCCTGTCATCTGATACGGATTGAAAGCAGCGGGAGGTGAAGATGGAGGCGGAGGAGAGCCAGTATGCATCGGCTGCTGCCAAGGTTGTTGCTGCTGGTAATTCATGCCATTAACAGGCTGCTGCACACCAAATTGCTGCACTGGAGGGGGCGACGATATTGAGGGTGGCATAAACTGCTGCTTTTCTTGATACAGAGCAGCCGGGTGCGGGGAAGGCTGTTGGGTGACCGGGTAGCCATTATGAGTGGTGACCTGCCTGTTGAAGTCGTTACTCTTGTTGGCGGGTTCTCCGCAGCAACCACCCATCTTGTCGTGGTCGTCAGATGCAAAGCCGGTACAACGTCGTTATTTGGTTGATGGAGGAAAAAGCAACGGCGGAGTGCCGGGCAGCGCCCAGAGTAACACCGCCTGCACTCTCGCGCCTGACGCTGGTTCAATGATAACCGATGTCATGCCTTATCAGGAAATGATTAACATTTATTCGAGCGATTATTGCTCATGGTGAATAAAACACACGCTTGAGTGGCAAGTCTTTCTCAGAAACAGTTTCATATGGTTGTTGTTGGCGGAAGTTGAGGCGTGAATGTGTGCTATCAAACAACAGAAATAAGAATGCGAACGTCAGCTTCTTTCAGCTTTCTCTCTAATTTCAGTTTAAATCGCGTCCAAAAATGTTAATACAGTGCAGATACGACTATATGACATAAGCCCCTCCAACTTTTCTTGAGGGAGAAGACCTTGGTAAACGACATAGACACGTACATAAACATTACATTGCAATGGATTTGCTTGGAGTATGGCACAAGTTGCCTCGCAAAGCACGATACGCCCTCGCTTGTCCCAGTGACGGGAAGCCAGAATGACAGAATGACAGAAAGAGCGACGATAGAGACCAGATCCGAGCTACTCGGTATTCCGGGAGAATGGTGACAAGCCCGAGCTCAAATATTTAATTTTGGACAGAAATGAAGCGCAGTACAGCGAGTCTTCTATGCAACCAGACCAGGTACACCGGCCCGCGAGCAAATTCCAAAGTTACCTTCGAAGGTGGAGAGCGGAGATCACAAATCTTGGGCAAGATATGTAATTGACTAGGAGAGGGGATTGGCAATGAACGATTCTGCTCATTTGGCAACTCCGCTCGAACCGTTTGCGCGACACATGTGTGATCAATAACATTGAGAAGCAGCTTACGATTACGAACGTGTGTAGGACCAAAGAGCTCCACGACTGAGGCCGAGAGAAACTCAATAGAATGTAGTCGAGATATCTCTATCAGTCAGAGTTGAACTATCCGGGAAAGTGTAAAGTAACGAGAGCGATTACAGCTCCACCAAAGGCCTGGGCTTTGGCGAGAAATCAGAAGACCCAGAGAACAAAGGCATGCCGAGGCGGCTTTGACGAAGGTTAGAAGAGACCTGCAAAACTCAACAAGAAAAATAACTTATTATAGCGGGCGTAGATCATGATGTGCTGACCTCCGCGCTCCGTGGCGTCGGCGAAAACCGATTACTGGTCCCTCCTCTTACCCCGACATAATTCTGGGTCGCTGGATTTGAGTCCAAGGTGACCGGCTGTGTTCCACGAAAAGATGTCGTGAGAGGAGACTTCATAGACAGGTATAGTGAAACTCACGTACACAGTTTTCGTCTCCAATCTTCAACGTAGGATTCGCAGCAAGGGGAACTTCGCTAGCAATAGGAGGGAAGTGAGAGTACTTCTATGTCGTCCACTTGAAAGGATACCCTCAATCCGCTGTATTGTGGTCTACGAGGTTCTCGTGTGTCACCGCTCGAAGGACTTCTGCACGTAAAATGCCAACAAGGAGGACGTGTGCGTGATGGAGATATAATTATGTGCAATTCAGATATGCGATTCTCATCCGTTTGTATTAAGTCCTGCCTTGTGAACGGAATGTCCTAGCAAATCCATCAGGTTACGGTAAGTGGACTTAGAATGGAGCGCTGAGCTTACCGTTAGCATAATTAAGTGGAAGTATCTCTAGTGATACCTTTTGTATCGACTTGGGAAGCTAGACACTTCTTTTGATTGAACCAGATCACCTCGTGCTCGTTTCTATTCATAAGTCGGTCTTATGGATTGATGCTTGTAATATACTCTAAACCATATTGATACATATTAGTCCTGTTCAGTCAGTTGAAACACTGAAAGTTCCGTATCGATAGGCTTGAAAACTATCCCACTGCAGATCTACTAGACATGGATATCATTTCTGTTCTAAAAGCCGGCGGGGACAGCGTTCAAATCACGTACAGGCACCAGCGAACTCGAAGATGGGACTTACCAAGTTACTTTAGGCAATCACTCCATGATACACTTTCTTCTCGTAAACTTCTTCATGAGAACGTCCTTAGGACTTGATGATTTTGTTCCATGTCCACTCGAGACAAAGCTGCTGCCTGCACACTTGGACCAGTTAGACTAGAGAGACTCACTTGACACTCATCTACAGTCAGTAGCATTATGTAAGGTTCTTATTTCGGATTTACTACGGTTCTTCGGATCAATTCTGTGAGAACTCTGGCGATGCCGTTTACCATCAATGGCATCACGGATTGTCGCCACTCAGCATAGCATTTACGCTTTGACTTCAACTTCCATTACCTGTGCCGCTGTCCTATACCTCAGAGTTGTTGATCTAAGCGTTTCGAACTCGACCTTATGTGATCCATAATGTAGGGAAATCATTGTGCTTTCTCGAATGTCGAGGCCATTCACGTTGTGCCAAGAGGCTTTCATAGAGCTTTGACCAGAGGTGGCAACGACGAGACCTTGTATTTTTGCAATGTCACTACTTTTACATGCTCGCGATTGTGTGAGGTTTGGTATCTACGTATACTCTCCTCTGGTCTATAATCAGCTTTGCACAAGTTATTGTGCGTGGTATGGGTGGCCAACAGGCCAAAGCAAAGTGCTTCGATATCAGCACCTCTGTATAATATCAACGTCCGACCCAACATTTCAAGCATCTCCACATTCCGAAGACAGGTCTCTTGCTATCTTGCCTACGCTGTCTACCGCTGTCATACGAGCATTAACTTTGCAATTTGCTTCTGCTTCCAAGGTGACTGTGCAAATCAATTTGTCAGCGGACAAAGAAGCTTATATGACTTTGAAAGAGCTACAAACGTTTCCCCTTGAACGCTGAAGGTGTCAACGTCCTATCCGACCTATATGTCCCTTCGTGAAGATGCTGTAGAAACGGACGGAAAATGCGGGCGTTACGACGAGCTCTCGGAAGATTGGTTCTCCGACAATGAGAGTATATGCTCCTCCGTCTCTGACGCTTCCACTTTACCTTCCCATGTTGTGGTCAAACGGCAGTCATATCCTCACTGGGAGGAAGGAGTTCTGAAAGACGAGGTTGTTTTACAAACCCACGGAAGGCAGGATGAGAAGCTATGTCAACAGCACGAGCTTAAGTCTAATGGTCCAGAGTCAGTGCCACGATCTCATACTTACGCCACAGAATCTTCCTCTTTATCTGCACCGATTACGGGAGAGAGGATCAACCCTCAGCTTTATGGACAGTCTCCGAACGACCCGAGCCCATTCACCTCTTCCGTTCCCCCTCATCTCCCTCCCGCAACTCAGTTTCCACCTCTGGATCCTCGGGCTGAGCTCCTAAAACCAACCCGAGAGACACGCGAGATCACGACGTTCAGCTTCGCCAGGCTGCAGATGTTGGTCGACGACTCTGCCGAACGCAAGTCGACGTTGTCTATTCTTGCCGGAGTGCACAACCAAGTACAGGGACCACTACGGAATCCGTCATTGTGGAGCTTGCCTTCGGGCTCTGGGCCAAACGACAATGGAGCTAATGGGACGAGAGCATTCACGCCATCCTCTCAGTCTGTCGAAGATGTTCGTGATGATCTGACTGTGGATAACTGGCCGATCATGAAGGATGAACAACTTACAGCTCTGCGATCCATCGAACTTGCGTTTGGCGATTCTTTCAGTCCAGGAGCTTCTTCGGCGAGTTCTAATTCTGGTAACAAGACTCCTGATCATAACAGCAATGTCAATGGTACGAATGAAGGCGTCATACAACAAAGGTTTGACTGCACCTGCGGTCATAGCAAACATTACGTGCGTCCATTCGTTGATGACGATGACGATGGTGATCGTGGGACCACCTGGACTTGTTCGGAACTCGGTGGCGAGGAGGATAACACCGATGATTACGGGAATCGCGTTAGAGATATCATACGCGAAGACACAGTATCTGCCATTGAAAGTTACGCCGCATCCGAGTCCTCCAGACGCGCGAATGCTAGCTCCGCTTCTCTGAATTCCACATCAAATTCGCGCACATCGTCAGAGTTTTATTTATCGCCAAACTTCCCTGACTCTGATCATGCAAATAACTACTTTCCCGAGGCAACACCTGTGCTTGGAAATGGCCAAAGGGAAGATTCAACCGATGAAGAACGTGATATTCATCGTGTTCATTTCCCTGCTCAGTCGTTTCGAACGCCATCCAATTCTGGCTTTCGCAACTTTCTTGACGCAGCTCGCCGTCGCATGTCTAGCATCAGTGGTACTTCTCGTCCTGCAGGCGGGAAGAAATCGTCTCAACGTGAACGCCGCAAAACGCTTGCCACCTCCACAGAGCTAGAAACTCACAACCATATGACTGTAGATGGTCTTCCCGCAGGGTCCAATGGAGATACACCACGCTTCTTTGCGGACCTTGGACGTTCACGCACTTTGCGACCTCTTGATGTTACGGCTTCTACCTGCAAATCGGAAGTACCGCTTGTAGAGGATTCTAGTGGTTCCGAACAGAGGTCTCAAGCACTTGTTTCGTCCACCCGCGGAAATGGGGAACGCTCCCGCAATAAACGCAATTTCTGGCGCCGTTTTTCGCTACAGCTCGGACATAACAGCAAAGACGATGAGAATTCTGAAGCAACCCCATCGTCAGATGTGCCACCGGTCTCACTTCAGACTTCTCCGCCTTCAGGTTCGGATGTGCGTTCTCCTTCGTTGCCAGAGGAAACTCGGCCTCGTGCGTCGTCTGGCTCGGTCCTATTTCGTAGCTTTAGACTTGCCGGTCCGAGGAGTCCGCGACCTGACGGACGGAGAGGTGCTGAGAGGAATTGAGGCGGACTCGTGCTGCGGAACAACGTTGTTGCTCCGTCGGTGTCTTTGGGAGGTTCGGAGGAAAACCCTTGAAGATGTATTGGACGGAACGAACAATGGAAGAAGCGGCCCTTTTCCCCTTTCATGTTCTTGGACTAACTAACTGCGTTGTCATTTTGTGTATCTGCAGGAGGAATGCGACGATGTGCATTTTCTGCGCTCTCCGTTTCTCGTTCCGCTTAACATTGTAGTGTTGTGAACGGAAGTTATAAAAATAAACCCGAGATTTCTGAATAATCAGTTTGCATGTTAGAAATAGAAACGAAGGGACATGAATCCAATTACAGTCGTTGTTAAACAAAAAGTTAAAGAGAGAAAGAAAAAAATAAAAGGGTGGGAGTGACAGGAGGTGCGTATACACAACAAACCGCGAAAAAAAAAAGATTAGTTCTTCCTATCGAGAAATAAAATATCTTTTTTCTCTCATGATGTCCAATTCGATCCGACCACAGCATGCCATACATTTCGTCCTGACCATGGCTTTACTACGTGCTGACCTGCGTTGTAGCGGCGCTGACTGCTATTACATTCGCTGCACCTCCAATGCCCGCATCCGCCTGCGTCGCCAACGCTGTAGAGATAGCTGGCACACCTGGCACAGCGGGAGCCGCTGCCGTACCCTGTCCTGCTTGCTGCGACGTTGTAGCAGTTGCAGGAGGCGCAGCGCCCGTAGAAGATGATTCTCCGCCCTGCGGTGCGGCGCTCTGAGCAGAAGAGTCGCTGGTAGTTGTGCCATCCGTAGGCGCTATGCTTGCTGGTAACGTTGAGACAGGTGTATTGTTCGATTTCTTATGCGCTTGTGTCCCGCCGACTGCTCCGCCGACTACTGCACCGACTATGATGACGGCGAGGATGACGAGTCCGAGTATCCCTGCGCGGGTTTTGTACCATGGTGTCTTTCGGGCGGTGGGTGGAGGGAGTTGAGTGTATTCTTTCGACCGGGCACCGCTGTGTCCTGCTTCGATGTCTGTATTTGATCGTGCGGGTGCTGGTGCTGTTGCGCCGGAGGTTGGTGCAGCGCCGCCTGTGGGTCGTTGATTTGCTTCGTCGTTGAGAAGATCAGCATCATAGAACCTCTGTTGTTGTCATTGGCGACAAGACAAAACGGACATCTTTAGATCACTTTAACAACTGCGATAAAGAGAATTTAGACGGACCTGTCTTTGTTGTTTAGTTACTTCCGGCGCCTCGTCGAGCAAGCCCTTGTCGTAGCCTGCGGTATGCGACATTGTGCGGAGGAGGACGTCGTGGACGTTGTTGAGAGAGTGTGTGTGGTCGGTGAGGACGGCGGTGTCCCTGACTGGGCATCGCCTAGTGAGAGTGAGTACGGCGCTGATGGAGGACCCTGGCGTTTGAATACAGTGATTGACAGTTTGCACCGCTTACCGCGCCTCTAGACCCCTTATGGCTGGCCTCTATTCTTCACTTCCCTTCTTCTTTCTTCAATTTTTATTCCCTCACGACTAAAATGACTATAGAGGAGAGTATAATCATTCCTCCTCATGAAATGCTCGAAAGATATGAGGATATCAACATAGCAGGCTCGTACTTTTTCTTAAAAATGATTTTGTATGCCTCTTTGAAATTATCCTCCTGTCTAACATGCGCCTCAATTCCTCAGCGCCCATGGTCCGATACAGCAAACGTATGCGTTGCGTTCTTCATCGCCTTAAATAACAAAAAAAAAGCACACGCATGCTAAAATGACTAAAATGACTCGCACACATGCATAATGTCTAGTGCCATTCAGACATCTAGCATCCCTATACAACTGTCATATCACACATACACCAATGATCCTAGCAGCTGAATTCTCTCGGTCGGCAAACGCGAGATTGACGGATTTCTCAACGTCCTCTCTCGAGCGCGGTTCTTTTCTATTACAAGAGAAAGGTGGTCCACCGTCTACGTTGGCTCAGCTTGATGAAGCGCCAAATGAATTAGGAGCGGTAAAGAAAGCACGGCAGAAACGTGTACGCGGCGCGTTGATTGCTCAATTTGCTGCGAGTGAACCGGGCCATTTCGCTGATGCTGTTGAGCTTATACGACCGCATGTCGATGGTGTTGATTTGAATTGCGGTAAACAACTCTCATAGCCTCTACGTATACGACTTATTAAATGCATTGAATTAATTATGAGTGTTGTAGGTTGTCCTCAAGGATGGGCATACCAAGAACAAATTGGTTGCTGGCTTCTTCGACATCCGGATAAGATAGCTGATATCATACGTGCGGCGAAGAATCGTGTGGAGTCTTCTTTTCCTATCTCTATTAAGATTAGGGTTGATCCGGACTTGAAGTAAATTTTCATGGTCTTGCTCCGAACGAAAATTAACATTGATCGTCTAGGATAACGGAGCAACTCATTCAAACAGGTGAACTTAATCAAATCAGAGTCCTAACACCCGCATTCACGAATGATCTCTACAGCGATACACGCAGGTGTTTCGCATATTACAGTACACGGACGGACTCGACACCAAGTCTCCACTCAACCTGTATCACTCTCCTCGATTGCCTTTGCAGTGTCAGCTGCGAAAGGGGCTGTCCCAGTCGTTGCTAATGGAGACGCCTGGGATATGAATGAAGTTAATAAAATTCGGAAAGAGACGCGCGCGGATGGTGTGATGAGTGCGAGAGGGCTGTTGGCGAACCCAGTAAGTGACTGTCCTGTCACATTTTTTGAGGGATGTTTTGCTGATTTTTGAATTTGGGTTTTGTATAGGCTTTGTTTTCCGGGTATGACGTTACGCCCCCTGAAACGATAAGGGTAGGCCTTTCTTCGTGCGGTTGCAAGTATGGGTGCTGACTTAAAAGTAGAATTTTGTTCGAATTTCGACTGATTATGGTCTACTTTTTCCTCTGTTCCATCGACATTTGTGAGTCTTTTTTTAAGTCTGAATACTTAGTTATTCCAGAAGTTATAAATCACACAGATCCTTCATTCTGGAGTCTCAATTATCACGACACGAGCGCGCAGATTTCAATTCATTAGCTTCCTACGCAGGCATCATCGACTATCTCGAGGCTCGTGATCCCACAATCACGCAATTTACCTAACAGGTCCACTCAAGGACGTGCAACCCAAACTTCCCACCTCCCTTACTCTCTGGCTTCTCCTTACAATCCTCAGTCGTGTCGATCATCTTGAAGCCATTCTTCTCGAATACACGGACACTGCCAGTGTTATCCTTTGGTGCGTTGGTGATAATCCAACGGACACCCATGCGAGGGACCATCCATTCGTGGATGAGTGTGTGGACTGCAGTCGTCATAATTCCGCGACCATGATATTCTGATGCTAAGTAATCTGTACAAGTCACTTTGTCAGAGGTTCTTAAAGACGTTGAAGTGGGGGTTAGGGGTTTTACTAGGGATAACGAACCACCAATACACCAAACGATCTCCGGGTCGCCTATTTCCCTCATCTTATTCTCTTCATTCAACTTCTTCGCTTCTTCTGGATCAACGACGTGGAAGAAATTGTTCCTCGGACACCCGATATCGCCGATATACACATCACTCCCATCTTCCTTTACTTCCCTAAGGATTCGTACTGGACATCCATCGACAAGCGTCCTGTCTTTCCTTCCTCGGGCATTATCAACGAGAGTATCGAGAACCCTTCGACATGCCTCCACACACGGCTCAAGGAACTTCCTCGCATGTTCTTTTGTATGGGGATATGGCGCGCCAGGGAGTTGGAGATGTACCTTTGGGTCGTTCAAAATGCGTACGATGTCCTCGAGATCCGACTCGAGCCGTGGTGGAGTGATAATGATGTTGGAATATGGCTTTGGAAGACAAAGGAACGGTTCGCCTGTTTGAGGATTAATTTGCAAAGGATTGAGCAGTGAAGGGTTTTCTTTGACGAGCTGTAAGAGGTGTTTGTAATTATCTGATGTTGAGGACAGTAATGACATGGGTGTAAGTAGTTAAGGGTGATACGAAGTCAGGAGTGGGCGAAAGTCGAATGAGTTTAAGATCTTTGATTTATATCAATCGTTTGGACCATTTCTCACAAGGTCATTACTTCGCCGCGTCTGAGATATTTATTACAATCCATGTTATATCAAGTATCAAACTTCGAGAGAACATGTACACGAGTGGACATAAAGGTCAATACATCTATTGAATGCAAAAAAGCAAACACAGAATATACACATATACAAAAAGCTAGAAGCAGTACATGCATATATAGAGAAACCTTATTAACAATAATAACTAAGCTCTGAGGAAAACGACAAATTCTGTGCCTTATACACTACTTGATCACAAGTCATGCTAGCTCATATATCAAACTTCTGGGGAACATGCGTACAGGTAAACAGAAAGATTGGTGTGGCTACTGAATATAGAAATCTATTGCACGAAAAAGGATATTGAAGTAGTCCGTGCATGCCCAGATATCTCCAAAGCAAAGCTACATGCGGACTTGGAGTTGGTGTGACTACAGAGTAACCCAAAGAATATACCAACACAATCAAACTTCGTTTAAAATAGTATGTCTCGTGCTGATTCTACGAAACACCTCAGAGTTGACATGACTCCGAAAGACGAAACTCCTTCCCTCTGGTTTATTCTCCTCAGCAGTTTGCTTCAAATGTACGAGCATCCGGTGTCCAAAAATCGCAAATATATGTGCTCCTCCTAGAACGTAGAATACAGTAAGTACTGACTCGCGGACTATCCCCTTGTGCTCTGTCAACGTGGCAAATATGTTTGTGATGCTGCAAGCTAGAACGCTATGTAGCGGTTCGGATCATTAATTCAGCCATCTATGTGCAAAGAGATAGAACACACAAAGTGATATAGATATTTTGGTCCGTTATAATAGTATTCACAAGTTGAATTCCTCGGAAACCCAAAGTCTTTCGAAGATACATGGCCTTGTAGGATGCTAAACCTACTGCTATTGTCTGATATATGAGAACAATTCCCCTTTGATACAGAGGAGAATCAACGACTGCATACATTATAATTGTAAGTTGTTATGTTTAGTGCGTACCAATACAGGTATTTCTGAACTACTGGAGCAGTAGCTTGTATGCCACATTGGCTGATGTTTCCTGGAAGAGCAAAAGCGCTCACTTCCGGAAGCATTAGATAGGTCAAAACCAGGGCGATGAAAACAGGGTAATAACATACCTTTTTCTACAATGAGCCCATCAATTACAACTCCGAGTGTGACTGTACCGTCAATAACTAGCATGGCAAAGAGTAGTCGTGTTGTTGTTCTGCTTTTCCTATCTGCATACGATATACATTACTCAAATGTTTGACAGCGTAAATTAGTAGACCTCACCCAGTGAAAAGAGTGCGCGGACACGAAGATATAATATATCTATGGGTTTTGTCGTTGATTGATTTAGTCAGTGAGGTCTTTTGGCAGGACATGGATTGTTACATACAATCCATGCAGATTAGTATAATCCAATCTGGAACATGTTTAGCAGGTAGGACAGATATAAACAGATGACCAACAGATACTTACCTAGAAGGTTTATCCCCCACTGAGAGAAGATACCTTAGTTTCAGTTAGTAATGCAACACTTTATCTTTAATAAAGTTATTTCTCCTTACAGCTATGTGAGGAAATATAAGTACACTGGCTTAAGAAAAATGCAAACCACCACTTACACGAATGTATCGACATGAAGTGAAGACTCTGTACTAATATTAGCAGAGTAATGACTTTGAAATAGAGCAATAAATACCCCATATTGACAGACACAATTTAAGAGCAGCGCAGTAACGCAACTGTTTGAGAATGTTTCTTGTTAGTCGATAGGAAACAGCTTGGTTTAACCTTCTTGAATTCTTACCAATACAAAGACTAGGTTGGTCACGCTGAAAGTGTTATCCTACATGTTGACGCATTAGTGGTTGCGAAGAAAAAAAAATATAATCAAGTGCACAACTTACCCAGAAGAAATAAATCTGGCCGTAACATCCAAGTGGGTATTTCAGTATCCGACATCTTATTACAAAACATAGAACAAGAGGATACCTCGTTATCCATTGTGATGACTATTCGAGTTTCCTGTATTGAGTACTACACGTCAAGCCAGACAGCAGAGGCACTCAACTGATATCATAGACAACCAGAGCAAGGATTGCAATTTGACTACATTGTGTAACCCGAATAGCCGGGAGAAATTCGGAAAGGATTTCAATGTCGCTTGGTGTTGCCATTTCATACACTTAACGTAGGATAGGCCTTGACCAGCAAGTACTGAGACAGAGCGACAGCAAAGGATAGACATACTTATACAATGCCGCCCGCCGTAGTGCATCAGCAACAGAGTTGTCAGTGTCCTGCATGTTTCATCTGGGAGTAGTAAACATAAAATGATGGTTGGCATACAGGTTCCGCTTTAGACAGGATAGTACAACGCTGGTACCAAGACGAAATGCCACTATTGGTTTTGACATCAAGGATCGTTCACATAGAACGACCAGTGCCGAAGTTCGAAGCTTTGTAAGTCATGCAACGGCCCAAGTCGAGCTTTGATGACATCCTTGATGATAATGAAGATCGAAACTGAGGTGAGGTGCCCAAGCCTTGTATTTTCTTGAGACATTATATTGGGCATTGTCTTTCTCCCCGACGATTTGTCCTGTCTAGTACAACCCGGGGCATGGATCGGAATCTTCGTAAATCATGCAAAGAGTTTTCAATGCCAGTGCTGAAAATAAGTGACGAAGCTAAATCCAATGCCTCTTTCATCAAAAGGGCATAGAAACCACCCAAGCAGGTAACTGAAAGTAGCACACGAGAGTGCACAGATACGAGAGTGCGAAATTCGGAAGATATTGTAGGAATTAATTTGTGGTTGTGACGTGATTGTAGCCGAGGGATGAGTATGGAACGTACTAGCGTTGAGGCAAAAGCGTGCTTTGTTTTGCACCGTCGACATCAGAAACACGGATCGGCCCGCTCACGTTCTCCTCCCATATATTCAATAATTAATGCAGGTACACAACCAACGTCGCATTCAAAGCCCAGCCTTGCTTTCTGCCACCACCCAGCCCTCTCCGACCTCGTCGTTGCGTGCACGGTCGACAACAGTCAACGCATCGTCAGTGGCTTCTCGGCCGAAGGGCTCCAGCGAGGTGCGTAAGCCCATGCATGTACATGTGTGCATCATCAATACTCTTAGCCCAACAATCAATCACCGAGCTGTTAATTCAGTCCACGCTAACAGAGTGATTTGTATATAGAACCTAAGGATAGCAACAGCTCGCTCGCACCATAATCTGCGTAACATGTCCACCTCAAATGTCCCTTCGCCGACGTCCAGTACGGCCGGGTCCATGTCACGCTCGCGGTCTGGCTCGTCTGCGCGTTATCTCAGCGTGAACACGCAAGCAGCTTCTGATTCTGCACCTGCGCTCCCACAGGTAGCCGGAAATATCGTGCGTACACCCGATAGCGTAGACGGAAGCGTGATGTCAGCAACTCAGCAACTTAGCGCAAGCAGTGGTTCTCCCGCGTCGTCAGTCGCATCGCCTGGTGCTATATCACCAACAACGAACGGACAGCCCAGGGATCGCTCGTTAACGCATAAAAATTCGAGTCGGACTATTGGCGGAGCATCTGTTTTGAGCGTGAGTACGAGTACGAACGGACCACGCAGAACGTCTTCCGCATCAACTCAGCGTCCATTGGGCGCCTCGAAAGATGCTTCGAGAACTCGCGAGCGTGAAAAGAGCGAGAATAAGTCATCAGGGCGCTTACGGAGGGATAATAGAGACGCCGGAGATGACGACGTTGGGATACAACGCATGCCATTGCACGAAGCGGAACCCGCACCACCAACTTTAATGTACTGGAGCAAAGCACCAATATGGGGAACACTACCAACTCATAAAATGCGTAGCCATAGTGCGAGCGTGGTGGACAATACCATGATCTGGATGTTCGGCGGATGCGACGACAAGGAGTTCTGGCGAGATGTGCTTTGCCTTGATGTCGAGACGATGGAATGCACGCGTCCGGAGACGTGCGGGGATATCCCGCCACCTTGCCGTGCACACACTGCAACACTTGTCGACCGGAGATTGTTCGTATTTGGAGGCGGACAGGGAAACATGTACTATAATACGCTTTACATCCTCGACACGGTTTCACGACGATGGACACATGTACCTTTCTCGACCGCTATCTCCTCTACCTCCGCACAACACGCACATACACTGTCGGGTGCTGGTGACTCATCTCCTGCTGCTGCTGCTGCTGCTCCGGAATCCATTGAGGCAGGGATCAATTATAGCGTTGTTGATGAATCGTTACCGAGACCACGTCGAGCGCATACGACGGTTTTGTATAAAAATCGTCTAGTTGTATTTGGTGGTGGGAATGGCGCGATGGCATTGAACGATGTATGGGTGCTTGATGTAGGTGTCCCGCCAGAGCGAATGCGTTGGGCGAAGCAACGTACAACCGGTGCTCGTCCGTCTCCTCGTGGCTATCATACTGCGAACCTTATTGGCAATGTAATGGTTGTCGTTGGTGGAAGTGACGGACGTCAGACTTTCTCGGATGTTTTCTGCTTGAATTTGGGTGAGTAGGGCTTGTGGCTAAATATTTTAAATATTCTCTTTACTGATACAATAATTGTGTAGAAACATGGCATTGGAGCTCCGTACATGCTGACCGATTGTATCGACGTCTCGCACATACGGCGACTCAGATTGGGTCGTACCTGTTCATAATGGGCGGACACGATGGTACACAATATACCAACGAGCTACTTCTGTTCAATCTCGGTATGTCGCATTCCTTATCCACAACCGGTTTTTTTTTAATTATATTTTATTTTCCTTTCCATTTTTAATTTCACTCATACCTCATACTCATGCCCTTTCTTTCCTCGAAATTGTAGTCTCGTTACAATACGAACCCCGCACAACACGCGGCATCCCACCAAGTCCACGCGGATACCACGCTGCAGCGCTTGCAGACGGTCGGCTATGGGTCTTTGGCGGATACGACGGTCGTACAGCACATGACGACGTACATATGCTGGACCTTGCGAGTTCAGCGTACCTCAGTCAGGTCACTGGGTTTCAGATTAACGTTGATTAACCATTCCTTTTTCTTCTCCTTTTTTTACATTTGTTTTTGTCCCTTTTTCTTTTTCTTTTTCTTTTTCTTTTTCTTTTTTATGGAGGTATTTTGTTTCCTTCTTCCCTTCCTTTTTTTTTTCGGGTTCTCTTCCCATCTAACTTCCCCGTCTATTGTGGCTGTAGGCGCTGGAGAGTCTATTATGATTTCGAATGTACAATGATATATTTTTACTCGACTATGTCTTGAAGGCGTGGTCGTTTTACTTTCATGTACAGTATTTATATATTATACGTAATAGACAGTGTTTGAAATCGTAAAATGACTTTTTGTGAATGGATACATAATTTGAGTATTTTGAATGCTTATATGCTACATCAGAATGATCGTTCTAAAAGTACAAGTATGCCTATTTAGGTGACCGTTCGTTCAATTTTTCATCAAGAAGTTGATTCGCCTGGAACAGCACAAACATTCCACATTCTTCCCTTTGAAATCTTCAACCAAACATCTCAGTCAGACCGGGCGTTAACTGCGGCTTGCGCCTGTGCAGCTAGTGATTCAGCCGGAGGCCGGTGTCCAAGTCTACAATATCAAAAGAAGAAACAAAGGGACAAAGATAAGATCAGTAACAGTAACAGATAAAGATACTCCTCGATTGAGACGAGATTGCAGGTAAGGTGAGATGAGTAGGGACGTGGGGATGGTATTACGCACCTCTTGTGCTCCTCGGACATCAGACGACTAGCATCTTCTTGAGACAAGGTGTTGAGGTTGATCCCACCTGGCCCTTGTCCGTTGAGACGATTTTGGCCTTCGGCGTTACGATCGGCGGCGGACTGAGCTTGTGCGGCGAGTGAGCCGGGTGGTGGTTTATGGCCTAGACTGTAAAACAAACGAGAATATTATATATGAGTTGAGATAAGATTTCAAGAAACCTATGTATGAAACACACGGTGACACTTACATTTTTTGTTCTGCACTTTGTAAACGCGCAGCTTCTTCCGTTGTGATAGTATCGAGATCAACAGTCGGTACAGCGCCAACTGTCTCTCCCTTCTCCGTCGCGAGTAAAGCAGCGTCAACACGTGCAGCTTCTTTCAGTGCACTAGTAGGCTGTGTTCCCCTCTTCCTTGCGTGTTCCGGATCGACTTGAGCGTGAAATGTAGCAGCGGATTGAGCCTCTGCCGCAAGTGAGTCAGAGGGAGGTCGGTAACCTAAAGCCTTGTGTTCTTCGGACGTGATGATGTTGGCTTCGGGCTGTGTGATCTCCGAGAGGTTGACGGACGCTGTAGTATGGAGCGTTTGTGTACCGGTCGGATCTGTTGCTGCGATGCGTGCGGCATCTTGAGCTGCGGCGGCGTGCGCTAGGGCTTCTGTTACCGATTGTTCAGTACGCTCGGTGCTGTGTAGAAGAATAGTGGAGGAAGGCAACATTACTGTTAGATATCTTATGAGAGTGATATGATGGCAAATTACTACTAACTTTGCAAGGCGGGCAGCGTCAGACGCTGCTGCGACTGATATTTTGTCGTTAGTAGTTGTCATCGTTGCTCGTGGTAATCGAGGTGGATCGAAAAAAAAATGAAGCTCGCATAATCCTCTAATATTAAGACTATATACGAGCAAGCGCCCCTCGGCATCGTCATCGTTGACGAAAGCGTGCTGGTCTGCTCCGCACGGTGGCGAACGAGGTGAAGAGGCGGATCATTCTTGTAGCGTCGCCGATCAAACTCTGTTATGTAATTCCCATCGATTTCTAACTTACTATCATTGTATCAACATTGTACTTGCCGCGTCCCATCCATCATCACAATGGTTGCTGTAAAAGCTTCACTGTCAACGCCTCGCCTTCTCTGTCGCCGAAATTTGAAGAAGAAACCGAGAAGATATTGATACGTCTCGCTCCATGGCATAGTCTACTACTGGAATGACAGGTCAAGAAACTATCATTTCGAGACTGATCTCGCCAGGTACCCATCACGGGTCATCAACGATTCCGTGTCACTTGTATTACACGCAAGCTCTTTCTCCTTTCCCCGGCTCTGCTGTGTTTTTAATATTGATGAGGTGGTTACGTTCAATGGTCAAAGTGCTAGATCACAACCTTCAGTAGCAAGCACTGGAACCTGTGTGGAGTTTGCTGTGAGTTCACACTAAGTATACCGTTGAAAATACCTTATTGCATCACATTATAATGCATAAATTGAATATTGCATAGCTTTCTGCCTAATCCCAGCTCGGGATAAGGGAATTATGCACAAAAATAGTCTATTGCATATTGCATCAAGATTTGTGAGAAAATTATGCAAAATTCTGAGCATTTTGGGAAATTAGACTGCTTACTGTTGTGATTTTTGTACCCAGAAGCCTCACATATTGTTCTCTGACATACTTCAATACAAAAAGAATGTTTTCAATTGACATTTCATTGCTTACAATGTCTTTGATGCTGCCACAAGACCAAGATAGGGCAGCAAAGATCTCTTCATGATATGTGGGGGAAAGTTATAAATTAGTTATTTGCATTGACTAGCTTTTTCTATTTTTTTGTTTCTACAGATTCTGACTGTATTTCCTTGTATTACAAACCATTTCTTGAGTTTTACAGTGATATACACACTTACTGTACTTGTCATTGTCTTGGTTGTCTTTCTTGATGCTCTAAATGTGTGCTTATTTTCTTGTCATAGTGTATATGTCTTCAAATAAATTGAAAAGCAATATCGAACTTTGGGTTCCTAATTAAGTAATGTTTTCGCATGGTTACCATAATGCATATTGCTCATATTGCATAGGTCTGAGGCCTCTCCCGACGTTATGCAATAAGATATTTTCAACTGTACATACTTTCAATATTGATCTACATAGTGTACAAGGGCTTTTCATTACCTCTTTGTAACCAAATCTTCATCAGTGTTGAGCATGTGTGTCTTGTCCTGTGTAGTATAAGTGCAGTAGTTGGTAACGTCAGTTTCGAAGCCACACTCGGATCATCTGTTATCCTTGATCCAGACTCGATTGCAAAGCAGACAATATAAGTAGGCTATGGCTTCAATTAATTACAGAGACTTCCCCCCAATCTTAGCTAGCTATCACGCAGCTTCCTTTGATACTTGTTATGCAATGTCCTCTATCAATATTGATCAGATTGTTAAAACAATTGCTCAATATCAATTAGGACGGGTCACACAGACAGCAGTAGTTGCAGTTCTGGTTTATGATATTAGTCGAGTATTCGGCAGCATCTGTTCTGGAATCAGCATACTGACGTATCTATGCAGTCATTACGATGGGACAGGAGGTTTAATTTCCCTATTGTGTGCAGGTACATTACTCATACATCATGTCCTCGTGCAATAGATCGAATTTTTCTGGGTATTTCATTGTGTTCCCACATTAGAAACCTGCTAATAAGTGTATTTAATCAAGTCTAGTTCGCTCAGCCCGACCAATTTCACGTTTTTCTTTGTAAGATATTGTCTCGCTTTCGAATAGCGTGCTCTTACTACACTTATAGATCCGCTATTCCTCAATTCTTGGGGCCATAATAGGCCAACTCAGTTAGTAAATATTCAACAATGGCTGTATTAGACTGATTGACCTTTGTGCTATGGTCCTATATTTTACTAGGCTGGTCAACCAAGGCCACTGAACTTATGTAGGTCATCTGTTGAGAGGGGTTATGTGAGAGGCTTAGAGGGATCACACAAAGAGGGGGGATAGTGGACTCAGCTTGCTCTACTTAGCATCATTGTCTGTTGATTCAGTAGGTATATATAATATGTAGCTATGTCTCGGGTACGTCCGTTGCTTATATGCATCATTCCATATATGTTAACACTCCCCTTCAAACATATATTAGTTTAATAATATGTTTGTTTTGTGACTATTCGTTTATTTGATTTGTAGTTATTTTTATTTTTATTTTTAGGGGTAGTTATAGTGCTGCTACCACTCCCCTTCAAACATTTATAAGTTGGCCAGACCTATAAGATGTTTGATTTGCAGATTGTTCCAACATTTTTATTAGTATTGTATCTGCATTGTACATTGTGTCTGTATTATATTTGCTCGTGTATTGCATATAATAATATCATTTGTATAATATAAATGCATTGTTTGTATTGTATATTTTGGTCCACTATGTGTTAACTTTGTACTTTGTTAGATATTTATTAAGTTTTTGTTCACTGTTGTGTTATTAGTTCTGTACTTTGTTCATTGTTATATTATTAAGTCATTGTTTGTTGTCATGTAGACTGTTCAACATGATTGAAATTGTTCAGAGTTAATCTGAAGTTTGTGCATAGTTTACCATTCAATGACAGTATTGTTTTCACAATAAATTGTTCGAAATCGTTATTAATATCATATGTGCTTCAGAGACCTGCAGAATCTCATGAGTGCTGTGTAAGATTGTAAATCGTGTGTTTTATTTATTAAGTTTGTTTGAGTATTACTAGTAATTTCTTTTTACTTTGCTGTGAAACTAATGAATCATGCTAGTAAAATGTATATCCAGTGTTGCAATGATATCCTTCTTTAATCATTGCTGTCCACGTTCGTTTACGTTTGTATATGTGTTAAGCATTCAGGAATAGCTGATTTATGTCTTTGGATTGAAGCTTTGCATTGATTGTATATCAGTAATATTAATAATACTATTTGTTTTTACCAGATTGCTTCATTCTGAGATCAATAAGGTTTTATGCTAACATATATTTGTTGCATAGATATTATATCTGGCTGTAGACAGCTTGCTATGTGTCTAGGTGCATCATATATGTATTATATCATGAATGTATTGTCTGTATCACTTTGTGTTATTGTTTATATTTATATATTAATGTTGTGTTCTGTAATGAATTGTTTCTGATGCATCCTGAGTAACTATACAATCTGTTGCATTATTTCTTCAATAGCTAACATAATTATCCATTGTAAATTGTTAGTAATGTACGTTTGTATTATTTGTTATTAACAGTGTTATTGTAAATTGTTGTGATCATGATGTTATGAATATTTATTAGTATTATGGCTATTGTTCTTTACTTTTTCTTTTGCAAAGAATGATGTATTGTAACACAATCTGCATATAATTGATATATTGGATTATGTTTACTATAATCGTCTCTTAGCATACTTTAGTTAATCTAGTGGTATGTGTAATTGTAGTATTTGTTCAATGTTTTATTTGTTAATTGATTTGCTAGGTAAAGTGTTTTATATATCAGTTTTATTTATTTTATTTGAATCATTGTATAGATATACTTATTAGTATCTATCCAATGTATTTCATAATGTTATAATGCTGTTCACACTTGTATTAATTGTACAGTGAGGGCAAATTAATTGTTTGTACAAGAATCAATTTAATAGTTTTATTTGATTATATGTATGTGCTCCATACTTGTTTATATAGTTATTATCTTTGTATTGTTCGATTGCAATATAATTCGTATTATTGTATAGATATATTATTTATTGTTTTATGTACATTCCAAAGTATTATTTTCATTATTCATCACTTTTATCCATGAACTATAGTCTGGATTGATGAATTATTTTGTTATATGATGTGATATTTGTTTGTATTTTATTTATTTTTGTATTAAACATTGTTAAGTTAATCAGATTATTATATTAATATTATTTGCCAAGTATGAGCATTTGTTTCATAGTGGAATTATTATTTATTTAATGTTGAAGTTCAATTACACATTGTATTGACTTCCATTATTTGTTCTGATCAATGTTATTTTGCATCACATTGAATGATTTACCTTTGTGATCTGTTATATCTGTCTGTAACTTCTATCACTTATTGTTTTTTAGGATCAGTAATAAGATCAACATTTCTGCATCATGAATATTCATTTGTTCATCTGCAGTTTTGCATTGTGAACGTTCACACATTTGCTGCAAAGAACACTTTGGGAATATGTGCCATTTCTAGGCTTTATTATTATTAATTTATTAATTATCCGTTTGAATAACTTTTATAAGCATTGAAAATGTTATGTAATGTATAACTTTTATATTCTTTAATAAAGTATTTTGTGTTTGACAGATTCATCAGATTCATTGTGGATTTCACTTAGTGACATAGTCAATATGTCTGTATTAAGAATTCAATGTTTATCATTAGTGTGTATATTATTCAATTACTCCCCTTTAATTCGAGAAGGTTATTCTTTGAGTAATTGACAAGTAGTGTAAGTACATAAGTACATTGTTGATTTCCTTTCATGTATTTGTAATCCAACAAGTAGTGTTAGTACTTTGTTATTTTACTTTTGTACGTTTGTCAGTATGTGTTATAATATAATAGTATGTTTTAAGTTAACTCATAATGTTTGACATACATTATTTTGTTTAAACATTACACTGTAACGTTGTGCTGTTTGTTTTATAAATTTTAATGTGATGTTTGTAATATGTCTGTAATATTTCAGACATGCTAAGAAATCTCTCTGTGTGTTTGTAGTTACAACATTGGTTGCACATCTATTCATATCTCTGATAAGATGTAATAGATATGCTTACGTCTGCTTTTCATTATATATAATACTGTCTGAGATAATGTGTTAAATGTTTTATTAATTTATTTAATCTTATTATATTATGATTGTTTTTGTTTGTAATCATTATAATAAGTGTGTCTGTCATAGTTTTTCTGTTGTTTGTTGTACTAGCTATATTGGCATAGTACTTCACTTGTATATAAGCTTTGTAGCTTCAATATAAGTTTATTTATACTTTGTTAAAGTATATCTATGTTCTGTGTGATTAAATATGTTCTGTTACATTGTTGTAGTAATGGTAGAGGTATTATTCTACTGTTTGCCATTATTATACATTGTTATTATATGTTTACACTATCATAGGTGTAAAGTATTGTTATTTGTTTATTGACTATAATTGTGTACTTGTTCCTGTACCATAGTTACTGTAATGTACTTTGTAACTTTATTATTATTATTATTATTAATTTGTCTGTAGATAGTTGTACACTTTCATAAGCTGTATTAGTGCATAGATATCAGATGTCTTAGATATTGGATGTATATCTGCTAACTTGTTTTATCTCATATCCAACATGTCTGACATATCCAAGACATGTACCCAAGACATGTCTTACATTAATTGTTTGGCTGTGATATCATCATATATGTTATTATTTGATTTATGTTATAACATATGCATGTTTGTTGACAGTGTCTATCATTTGTACTATTATAATATTAATAGCAGATGAGTAGTGTTTGCTTTCTCAATCCTTCTAACGTTTGTCTGTAGTATGATCAGTTATTTATAATAACATGATCTCTGTAATATTATAGAATATTTTAGTAATTAAATGTTGTAGTAAGTGATACTCATTGTAGTTTCAGCATTGCCTGCATAGATTATGTTATTACTGGGCCAATGATCATAATCACTAAGATGACAATCATATAATGTCTGGGTTGTATGTAGTATGGTAGATTGTGCATTTGCAGCATATTGATTCGTGTTTGGGATACTCAGACAGGTGAGTCGAGTTCTGTGTTGTAGTATGCTACGTGTGTGCATGTGATGTGTAGAACTGCATGGAGCATAGGCATAGTAGAGTGTAGATAAAGTGTAGGCAGGGAGTGCAAGGCTCATAACCTGTTGAGAGGGGTTATGTGAGAGGCTTAGAGGGATCACACAAAGAGGGGGGATAGTGGACTCGGCTTGCTCTACTTAGCATCATTGTCTGTTGATTCAGTAGGTATATATAATATGTAGCTATGTCTCAGGTACGTCCGTTGCTTATATGCGTCATTCCATATATGTTAACATCATCAATGCATGCACCTTAATCAAAATTTACTAAATTTGAGTTATAAAGATGTGCACATGCCTCGAGTTGTATTAGTTTTCTCAACAACTAATGTGTGTGAACAGGCTTACTATATGCCTTGGGGAAACTCCATCTTGGGTAGGTGCATGT